ACATATTGTCAAGAGGGATGGGGAATTCCAAGAAGTTGTATCTGCCTTGGTTCCCACTCCTCATACAGATGACTCAAGCTGCCTCAAAAAGAATAATCAACTGATAGTGTTCAGTCCTTGGGTTATGGAAAAGCACTTTACTTATGGTGGAAGAGAGAAAAAAAAGAAAAACCTGAGCCTGGATATAATATTTACTTATACTTTTGTTTTAAATGTTTTCTCCTTTGAATCTAAAAGAATACTGTTTTGTTGCTTAATTCTGAAACCATTGCCCATTATTATTTGCTTTGTGTCTATTCTTAGATTCATACAGGATAAGACTTCTCTTAAACCATTTTTAAAAAATTGATATTAAAAATACAGTCATAAGCCCTACAGAGAAGACTCACTTTATGTTTGAAATACATAAGATGACTCTTAGATTTGGAAGAGAACCTACTAATACTATAGATGCATATAAAGTGAATTTGTTGACAGAACAATAGTGGAAGAACATGTTATGCAGAGGTGTACTATACAAAAAATAGTTATTTGCTTTCTGAAGCAACCATTCGTTCATCCTGTGTAATAAAATTCATCTGTTTCTTTTATTTCACCACTGAAACTGGTCTGATTGTAGATCTTGGAAGAAATACTTTAAAGTAAAAAAAGCCAGGGGAAATTGGTTCAAAACAGTCAAGTATTACCTTAAAACATGATTGAAAAAGGCTCTTAACTGAACATCATGAATTTTATAGAATGGTGGAATTCACTCATTGTCAATCTCTTTTCTTCGCCTCAGTAATGTTTTTCTTTGAAAGTTTAATTATGGTCGTTAATCTTTCCTTAAATATACTTTACTGAATAAACTCCAATTGGCTAGATGTCAGCCCCACCACGCAGACCAAATAAAAAAAAAATCAGCTGTATAAGAAGGCTCAAGCTACTTTTATTATTATTAGCTACAATAACCGAATCTTGCAAGTCTGATAAAGCTTTACTCCTCTCATCCCATACATATATCAATTAGGGAGGTGTTTGCCTGAGCTGCTTGTGCATATCTCTTTGTTTTGCCCCAAAGGTGTTTTTTTTTCCAAGAGGCAACTGGACTTTCTTGTTTTTCTTTGAAGACATTTTTCATACGAGAAGCAAGAAGATGAGAAGCGAAACATCTTCAAGGAAAAACAAGAAAGTCCAGTTGCCTCTTGAAAAAAGCACTTTTGGGACAACCATGACCTAGGTGCCTATGGATCTCCATAGACTCCTTGTTTTGACTTAAACTATGTTTATTTCTTTCATAACTGATCTTTTCAAGGTTATCCTCCATACTGTGTATATATATTTATACAAAAATGTTGACCACAAAACAGGTATTATAAACTATACTAGCTGGCTCATGTGTAATACTATGTCAAAGAATCAATATCATAACTTTAAATCATTCATATAACCCAGTTATTAATACTTTGCTCAGTTTCTATTTATACAGAATTATCCATGGTGCCATTGTTGTGGGGGTCTTAGTTGCCTTCATTTAGTACAAGGGTCTTCAAACTTGGCAAGCTTAAGATATGTGGACTTCAACTCCCAGAATTCCTGAGCTAGCATGACTGGAGGAGGAATTTGGGGGTTGAAGTCCACAGGTCTTAAAGCTGTCAAGTTTGAAGACTCCTGATTTAGCATGATTGTCCAGTCCAATCTATATTTAATTTTTTTTGTCTTTTTTTTGCTAAGCCTGTTCCTACCATCCTTGAACTTAATCAGGACTATTGCAATGCAATCTATGCTATCTGTTTCTGAAGATATTATGGTATAGGAATATCAGCTATTGTAATGCAGAATTTAGCAATTTACTATTTAACAAGCTCTTTGATATATGTACCTTATCTCTTTGATAGACCCAAACTAGTTTTCTATCTATTCTTATATTTAAAACTGTGATTTAGGTTGGATTCAATATTTTATCTTATATTTCATCCTCCCCAGCAAGTCACAGGACCCAGAGATATCTATAGCCCTGCTCTAAATTTTATCATATGGACAAATACAATTGGCCCAGAAATCATTTGCCAATGCTGTAGAACTCACTTTCTATACAATTAATTCAGCTTCATTTTTTTTAGCTCTTAGCAGGCAAGTAAAAACATATCTATTTCAGTTTGCTTTTTATAATTGTCTAATTTTTGTCCCATCCTATTTTAATTTTTCCCATCTGTTTTTCTTTATAATTACATGACTTTAGATGCTAGTATTTTACAAAGACAGCGAAAATCATGAAACACAACAATAAAAATATTTATAGCTACAATATATCAATTCAATAGGCTACAAATAAGTGAAGGCAGAAGAACAAATTTTTAATGTTATAATAACAAACCTAAATAGATTTCTTTGTTTTAATAGTACCTAATTGTAAACACTGTGGTTTCAATATGCATCTTGGAGATGGGAGAAATTTACAGGAACCCCTTTTTTTTAGCACTGTTCCAAACAAAATAGATGTTTTTCTCAAGGGTTCCCTCTCCTGGCTTTGTCTGGGTGAACAGTAAGAGTAGTTTAAACCAGGGCAATTTTTCTTATGTGTTAGGTTTTCATCCTGACTTTCCTCTAAGATAGGGGTGTCAAACTCAAGGCCCAGAGGCTGGATCTGGCCCAAGGGGTACTTAGATCTAGCCTGCGGAGCATCCCTAGAAACAGCAAAGGACTGGCCCATGGTGCTTCTGCCATCAAAAACAGGCTCTCGAGCTCTATTTTCGGCTGTCACGGCCTCCCGCAAACCTTTGCCAGTGAAAATGGTGCTCGGGAGGGCCACTCCATTTTCACTGGCAGAGGGTTGCAGGAGGCTATGGCAGCCAAAAATGGAGCTCAAGAGCCTGTTTTCACTGGCAGAGCACTTGGGCCAACAAAGGTGTCCCCGACAGGTGTGACATCGAGCTGGCCACACACCCCAACCCCCCCACCCTGACACAACCCTGATGTGGCCCTCAATGGAGTTTGACACCCTGCTCTAAGAGATGTGCCCAAGCTAATGCACACAACTCTTCCTCCTCCAGTTTTTTCCCACTGTTCCAACCTCATAAAGTAGGCTGAGACCTGCATTATATTTGATTTAGGGTTGTGATGGCGAACCTATGGCATGCGTGCCAGAAGTGGCTGCAGAGCCATTTCCCCTGGCACGCAAGAGCTCACCCAGAAGAGTCCCACTGCGCATGCATGCGCACCGCTGCCACCTGATTGTTGGGTACCTGGCACACATGCGCGTGTGGGGGGTACACATTAGACACATGCACATATGTAGAGATGCGCAACGCACACTGGGGGTCATACGCACATGCACAGATGGATGGCACATGGGGTGATCGTGTGTGCATGCACAGAGATGCGCAGTACATGGGGTGATCGTGTGCACATGTGCAGGCAGCGCAGTGGGGGAATCGTGCACACATGCACAGACGTGCAGTGCACGGCAAGAGGATCACGCACGCGCAGATGTGCAGCAGACTGCAGGATTGGTGAGCATGTGAGGGGGGGTGGCCCCCCAGCACGTATTGCTTTCTGGGTGCTGGGATGTGAGCGTGAGCGCAGGAGCGTGCGCGCAATTATCGGCACAGGAACCAAAAAAGGTTTGCCACCACTGATTTAGGGTTTCCATCTAATGGATGCATTACAGGTAGTCCATGACAGTTCATTTAGTGATCATTTGAAGTTACAGCACTGAAAAGTGACTTATGACCATTTTTCACACTTATGACCATTGCAGCATCCTCATGGTCATGTGATCAAAATTCAGACCCCTGGGAACTGATTTATATTTATGACCATTGTAGAGTCCTGGGATCATAGGATTGCCTTTTGTGACTACCTAACCAGCAAAGTCAATGGGGAAGCCACATTCACTTAACATGTTACTAACTTAACTGCAGTGATTCTCTTAACAAATGCATCAAGGATGGTAGTAAAATGGGGCAAAACTCACTTAACAAATGCCTTACTTAGCAACAGAAATGTTGGGCTCAATTGAGATCCTACATTGAGGACTACCTATAATAATATATAAAAAGTTAACAAGAGAATGTGGGAAAACATGCATGCAGTTATAGCCAGTGAGTGGTCTTGTTTTGACCCAGCCTTAGCAGAAGAAACAAGACTCCTTGTCATGAAAAACTTCTTTTACCTTTTGTGAATTAATTGCATTCACCCACCGAAAAGTCCAGGCAAGAGTCCTTCAAAGAATTAAGTGCAGTAACGGAATGCCCTCCATTCCCTCAAATCATTAGGAATTGGAAAAAAAGGGGGGGGGGGCACTGTGACATTACTTTATAATGAAATGTTTTACCTATCCATTAGCTATAATCTTATATTTAAAATGTAATTAATTCCAAAGGTTTTAACATGGTTAAATCACTAAGAGCAGGAGTTTAATGGAGTGTGTGCTTTTTTTTTTATAGGCACACAAGAGCAATATTTATATATTTTTTCATTAGTTGTGCTGTTTCCTTCACACATTAGTTATCTTATTCTCATTTTTTGTTTTTAGCCTTATTCATATTTTGAAAACTTAACAGTTATGATTGAAGTGTCCAATAAATTTCAAAAAGAGCAATGAATTGATTACCAATATATGTATTTATAGAAATAAGATGTGATAATTTTCCAACAGTGCATAAACAGTAGTTGAATATGAATATATTATTCTTCCCTATTTCTGCAAAACACACCAAATACTATACCAGAGCAGCCATACTTTTAGAGTAGAAAAGTAATATATCCTGATAAATATCTTATTATGGAATTTTCCTTGCATGTTGCATTAGAATTAACCTCTGAGTTCCATTGCACTTATGCTCAATAAACTATAGGCCAGAATATACTTTTGGTATTACTTATTCTCACCTGTGAATTTTCCAAGGGTACCTAAACTAGATGAGGTCTCAAATAACAAAATGTGTTTGTGATGTAAACTCTAGCCTTTTTGTATTTATATCCTGGTGAAGAATCATGACACCTTGATACACATTTCATAATTTATATAAGGTATTTTATTAAATAATTCAATTAATGGTCTGTACATGAGAATTTTTGGTTTTGCAGGATTTATGTATCAGACAATGATTCATGTTTTTAGTACAGAACATAGCAATCAATTGTCAATCTCCAGATGAAATTAATTCCTGTCTTCAAACTGTGCTTTATTCTTTAACAGATACGCCGCTAAAAATTCAATAGGGTTTATAGGCCTGAAAAGAAAAAAGAAAAATAATAGCTAAAAAATAAAAAGTTCTTTTGACTTCAATTAACTTATGGAGTTAATATGAAAGTTAAAGCAATTCAAATTCATAATTGTTCATTGTAAATACTGAATCTATAGAACATATGATTTAGTTTAAAAGAAAATACTTTCTTCACTCCAGATTGCCAAACATTTTATGATACAACCAGCCACTAAAGTATATGGAATAAATCATGATGTTACAGGCCTTGCTGATTTATTAATTTAAGTCAGAACTTCAATTTAATGTATAATTCGTGGTTTTGTTCTCACTTGATCATGTCAAAACATGTCAATGCAGCCATCTTAACAAATCAAAAATTCCTTGAGATTCCCAGACCTAGCAGAGGGCCACATGGTTTTTAACATCAGTTTTCTCAACCGTTTTATCAAGAATATTGGTGATGTCTTTGATTTGTATTTAATATTTAAATATTGTATTAAGTATTAATATTTTATTATCTGTAAAGTCAAAAAGATATATCTTTTTCAGCTGAGGGCTTTGTGCTAGCTCTTTGAAATTCTTCTCTGGACAAGGAGAGGACTTGAGATTACCCACAAGTGCTCAAGACAGTTGCTCTTCATGAGAAGACTTCAAAATAGTGTTCTCTAGTGGGTTTAAAGGTCTGAGAAAGGAGGGAATAACCATCTTGTTCAAACAGTAATTGATGCCTTTACTTTCTTTTAAAATCACTTTGGAAATAGCTTGTTAACTGCTTTTCAGCTATTAGGAATCCTTGGATTGACAGGTTCTATAGTAGTGGGTGAATTTTCTTCAACGCTTAGTAAAAGATCCAGAAATTAATTTTAAGAGTATCTGCCTCTATAAATGGACCTTGTTTAAAAGACATTATGGAAGAGGAACAAGTATTACCTGACAAGATTGAGACTGATCTGAAAGCAAATTTAAAAATGACAGGCTGCAAGAACATGATAAAAAGATACTACACTGGCCATATAAAAAATACAGCTGATGCCTTAATTAAAAAAAAATACAAACAAGAAATCAAGAGAGTGATCTGGATAATTTTATATATAAAACTTACCTCTCCTTTGCAAGGATTGCAAGGCCTTGTAATAAGATAGGGACAACTGTCTGATCCAGATATGCACGTGTAGGTAATGACTGAAGGTCCACTTTCTGCTTTGATGTTTTTTCTGCCCCCGTTTTCTCATTTTCCACTATCCGCTTAAAATTATAAACATATGCTTTGTGAAGATTTCTATCCCATCTCTAATTGAAATTCAAATTTCTTAATTAAATTACAGTTTCCAGGAATTCCTCTTGTGGTATTTAGAATGAGTAGGACCAAAAATGTGGAAGGTTGTTAATCTCTAGCATTTTTGAGGTTTTAAGGAACAAATTTAATGCCCTAAAATTTGGAGAACCATAAGTCTCCCATGACCACCCAATTAAAACTTCTGAATCTGCACCCATATGTCCTTCAAGTTGTAATATTCTTCTGAATGTTACAGAGCCCCAAGCAACAAAGCTGAACATACTTATGCCTTTATTCAATAAATTTATAGGGGTGATTGAAGTGTTGTTCTACCAAAGTATACATATGAATATGCAAATGTATTCCAATGACTTGGGTGGCCAATCCAGAATCCCATAGGTATATGACTCTTTAGAACTCCTTGAACTGTAACATCTGAAATTCACTACTGCAATTTTCTGGCATCAAGCAGAACTTAAAATAGGCTTAGCATAATTTCAAAAATATCATAAATGCATCATAAGCACTCCCCAAGCAATGGGGCGGGTGGGGGGGTTTAGATTTTCATCTCTAACAATATATTAAGTATCTCTCTACCTAATTTGCACCATCACAAAGCAACCAACCAAAGCTTTTTACAAGGCAATTATAAAAACTACTTTCATCAAAAAAATTTTTACACAAACGTAATAGACACCTCTCTAATTTTCAGTACAGTATCATAATCTCTGACCCAATATTCAATCAAATGTTCTAATACATAACATACATGAGGGTCCATTCAGCAACTTCATTCAGTACCTTATCCGAAATTATACACCCAGAACAGTGTATCATTAATTTCAGTTAGAAATAATCCATGTTCAATTACCTCTACATTTTCCGTAAGGCCATATTCCGCATGTGGATTTTCTGGAACCTGTAAAGCAATACACGAGCATAAAATAACAAGAAAGGAATATTTGTCTTTTTGGAAAATAAGAATGTTAAAGAATTATTATTACAGTTGCTGGTTTAAGCCTTACCTGTGGCTGTCCCTCGATAATCTGTTCGGTATCCATGACGTACAGAAGTTAAAATAGTCTGAGAGAACTTTTTTTAAAAAATAATTGATTATACAAGTTAATACATTGAGACATACAAGGATAGCATCCTGAACTTCAAAGGATATTTTGAGACAGGGCATTGTGCTACTCTCCCAGATTCCAAGTACCTTTTATATTAAGCCAGTAAAGCAAAACTTCTTAAGCATACGATATTTAAAGTGATTTCACGGCTTCGATGGGGTTATCAAAATTACCCGGGGGCCATAGACTAAGGAGGAACTAATCCCAGAATTAGAAAGCCCGCGGATGAGATGTATATTTATTAATTCTAAAGGAAGCCCGATTGATTTCAAGTAAGCGGAGATCGGATGGCAGCTTTTACTGGGCGCCCTCACAAAAAAGCCGGTTTTTATTTGCAGTTAAAATCAATCATGGAGGAAAGAAGTCGCTGCGGGATGTACCCTTGCCCTAAGGCTTCAAAGCGCCTGTATTCCTCTTATGGTAACTTACCCTTCGTCAACTAAATTCGGTTCAAGAAACGGCCCGTCGCGGAGCAACAAGGAAAACAACCGTCCGTTACCAGTCGTAAAAAGATATTGGTTGTCGTACAATGTTGTGCCATGGACTAGGAAGGATGTCGCACTTCACGGGCCACCGATTTTTTTTTTTTTTGGCTTATTTGTGCGCCTGCGTAATAATGAAATGTCTCCTCCCCCAGGCGCTGCGTCGAGCGAGTGGAGGCTGTTGGGAAGATGGTTTGAGCCGTGTGAAATGCGGGCTGTGCATCCTCGAAATTAAAATGGTGTTTAGTCACATAATTGATCAGGGTTAAAGCATCCTTATTTTCAGACGTTTGCTATAAATTTGACAATCGACAGAAAAGAAGCTATCACCTCAAAGACCTCACTACGAAGCAGAATTGGGTTCTGAATTAAGTACGGATTCGGGTTTTTTCGATAGGCTTCTTTAACTTACAAGCGTTCAGTGTTTTCCCTGCTTAGAAAAACTCACATGGGAAAAGGTGGGGCTATCGGAACTGGGCAGCTAGAGTCCAGTCGACTTGACGTTTTCTGTATATTTGCTGTCTTATAATGATAGTCTGGATTGTTGCATACCAGCTCTCCACATTGAAAATTTGAAGAGTCCTTATGTAGATTCTGACGTTTACAGAAGCAATTTATGTGTTATAAACAGCTTGATCCCAAATGAATTCTAAAATGCAAAATTACTGTAAAGTAACATCTACTATCTTCATAAAATTATTACTTAGCACATGCCACTGTTCAGTGAGGTGCCAACTAGGAGGACACACTATTAAATATTTAACTCATCAGCTCTTTTCCGCTGGCTGCAGAACCAGAATGGTACTTTTTGTCTTCAAAGGATAATTCATAGTTGAGAGAAGAGTACTGTATTTCTGGTAAGGAGAGCAGAAAGCAAGTTTCCAGCTTCTTTGGGTGGGTGGAGTAGGATTGATCATTGTATGAAATCCCTTGGAAAGAAAGAGTACAGTTTTCTACTCCTTCCCTGATTTATTGCACAATTCAGAATATATGAGAGCACTAATATGTTGCAAGATTTGATAAACACTTTTTACTATTAAGCCACCATCACTTTATGCTTCTTGGAATGAGATTAATTACAACATATAATTGGGGACATGATATCAAAGTTGGAAGGAATGAGGATTTATTGTAGTTCTTTGATGCAACCTCCTATGAATTGCAGAAAATCCTAAGAAGCTTGTGCCTGCAGCTTATGCTTGGTAAAATACAATACACTAAGCTGGAATCTATTTTATTTGATTTTAGTTTAGTGCATTGGATAGACTTGGCCAAATGAGATTTATTCATTGTAGCAAGCTTATTCCTTTTCAGCCTTTCAAGATAGGCCAGGTCCAGGAATACATAACACAAGGAGTACTTTATTTTTATAGGACATAATATCAGTCTTGAAATCCTGCAAGAGTATCTCTCTGCTTTCTTTATTCCAAACAGAATCAAGGCAGGATTATCTTCAGTTTATTTCTCACCCTTCTGAATTGTTAATTGTTTAATGTTCTTGCATTTCTTCTTCAAGGTTACCTCCATACTCCTCTTGGCTTATGTGAACCAGGCATTGTTCATTAGTAGTACTAACTGAATCAAGGGAGGAAAATACTGGGATGCAGTAGTGAAAATATAATCCTATAGTGTAGAAAGCTCAAGGGGTCTGTGTGACAGATTGCCATCTTTTCTCTTTCTCATTCTAGCCATGTATATTTAAAAGTTTTATTAAGTTCAATGGTTTACAGAAAATTGGATTTGCAACAAGTTTTAAGAGGGAGGTGATAAAAATATAATTTTGTGCATCAGAATGAAGTTTAGTCAAAAGTAAAGTGTGCCATATTTAAAAGCAGTTTGAGAATAATTGCCCTATTGAAGGTGTTTCTATCACTACAGGTGTTTAAGATGTGTTGATAGATTTAAGAAAAACAGGAACTACAAGATGTTGAATCTGACTGCATCTTGTGGCAGCATGGTTTTATAGTAAGAAACAACAGATGAACCTTCACCTTCATACTTGTGATACATGATGTAAATTTGCCTTTTTACCCCATGAGTGATATGTGTTCCTAGCACTGCACTCTTCTGGATAGAGAACTCTGCTATTGGAGGTAATCTTCCAGCCCAGGAATTACAGCTTGAGTGCTCCTACCACCACTGGGACCACTTTGGCCTTTACTTTCCACGTCCTTCGGGTCCCAGTACTTGTCCAATTTCTCATGCACCTTATTCCTGATGTTGCTGTTATTCGGTGCTGCTACATTTGTCACTGCTGCAGCATATATAGAGTAGCTTCAGAGACAGTTCAAATACATAGCGGCAGAGTATAAGATGCAGGCAGGAGCAGCATACACTGAACAGCATAAACAAGTAGCACTGTATTCAGGAACATCTGCACAATGTATGGATGAGACCAGGGTGTCAAACTCAATCTCATTGAGGGCCGCATCAGGTTTGTGTTTGCCCTGTGGGGGGGAGGCATGGCCGGGGGGGGGGGGCATGGCCAGTTCAATGTCACTCATGTCACTGGTGCCTGTGCTGGTCTGAGCACTCTGCCAACAAAAACGGGCTCCTAAGCTTTCTGTAACCCCCTGCCAGCGAAAACAGAACTCAGGAGGGCCACAGGCAGCCCTCCAAGCTCCATTTTCATTGGCAGAGGCACTGTGGGCTGGTCTTTTGTTGTTTCCAGGGTAGCCCCGTGGGCCAGATCGGTCCCCAGGCCTTGAGTTTGACAACCCTGGACTAGAGCCTTCCAAGTCCAGATGGGAGTTTCTACAGAAGGTCATGGAGAATAACAGGGCTAAAATCCTGTGGGACTTCCAAATCCAGATGGACAAGCAGATACTAGCCAATCTACCAGATATTGTGGTAATAGACAAGAACCAGAAGTGGTGATGAAAAATGTAGCAGTACCAACTGCTGTACAGTAGCTATTTCTATAGTACCTGGAAGTAGCATAGCAGTAACATAACTATACAAAACTGGAGATATGGGTTGTCTGTACTAAACAGGCTAAACCCTTATTTTATCTCCGCACTACTGAGAATTTTAGGCTTAACTTTTTAATAGGAAATATATTAGCATTTTAACATGGCATCCATGCCTTTTTGAAATCAAATGTTTCAGCTAATGCCACTTTTTAAATCTGCAAAATAACCTACTCATAAACTATAAACTAACTTATTCATAAACTAAACAAGAGAGCATATTCTGAACGTATTCCTTTAACACATTTGCAAGTTTTAAGGAAAATATAAACCTAACTGGAAAAAGAAATAATGCAACTTATAAATTTACCATTTGTTGAATGTATCGAGAATCAATGTTTTCTGTTGTTCTGTTGGAAGAATTATCCTTCTGGGTTCAGTTTCAAGTGGGGAAAAAGACTCTGGAAACATGGAGGCTGTTTGGAAAGATGGTTTAATGGTGGACAGGATCATATGCCTTGGAGCTCCTTGGTGAAAAGGGAAGAGATGCTGAGAGACCCTTGGTTTTATGCCCTGTTGGGATTTGAATTTGAGCATGTATTCTGATTGGTTTCAGATTCCCATGGGGCCATACAGGGGCAACTCTGTAGGCTGTCCTGAGTCCCAGGCTTGGTTGAGCCTTGCTGGATGATATAATGAAAGGGCTTTGGGCAATTCCTATTATAGCTGTACCTGGAGATCTTTGTTACGTAAAATAGACTGGCCTAGGCCAGAGTAATGGTCCATTAGCAAAGTGGAGGGCTGAGTTTCTACTTTTCTTTTTAGGGGAAATATTCTGCCTTTTTAATATTTCCTAGGATATTTTATTTTTCTAGGAGAGGGGTGAGTGCTAACCTCCTACATTCTATTGTCACATGTAATCAATGTATTTTATTGATTGCTTTCATATGCATTGCATATTCGTAATGTATGATTTGTTTCTGTACCCTATGAAAATACTTCACTCTCCCTTAATACTTTTTGCTTGCAAAAGCCATTTTGTAAAGGTAGTAAGCAAAGTTCAGGCAAACTCAGCACCTGACGTAATCCAGACCACATCTGGAATACTATATATGTTAACCTAAAGTGAAAGAAAAGAAAAGCAAAGTAGCCTAAAATTAAGGATAAGGCGAAATAGGAATTATATTTGCTACATTTACAAATGCTTTTTTAAAACAATGATACACTGACCAAACCATAATGGCATAGCTCACATAATAACACTAAAATGCCTGGAATGCACTACCTGACTCTTGTTACATCCTCTAACCCCCACTCTAACCTCAAAACTAACCACTATTGACCTCACCCCATTCCTAAGAGGTCTGTAAGTGCACCATCGTGCCTACCATCCCTGACCTATTGTCCCCATTTATTCGTACCTATTTTCTGTATAAACTCATGTTTATACTTATGTCTATTATCTTGTAAGTGATTGACAAATAAATAATAAATACAATCCCAATCCTTCATCTTTCAATATTAAGCCGAAAGCAACCACATTTAGTATTTATTGGGATGTGCAAATCAGGCCATGGAGTTCGGTGCAACGTATATTATATGCCTTAGTTTACAGCAAGCGAGAGGCAACTCTTGCTGATTTTGAAAACGTAAAAGGGGCTTATAAAGCAACCACATTTCTAGGATCATCTGATGACATCTGACAAGACACCACGAGGAAAAACATTCTGACTCCTATTAGGCAAGCGTTCTTTAACGACATTACCCAGATTGCATCGCTCTCACACAAAGGGCGAACTTCCTAACGTGGAGCGGAACCGAAACTTCCGATATTCCTGTGAAAAGAAGCATTGGGCTCCGGCGTCGATCGCCCTAGATAACTAACAATAGACCTCCGAAAGGAGCTTACGGGGTTTCTTATTCAGAAAGGCTCGCTACGTAGACTTTTGCGTCCGCGCGTGTGAGAGATAGCGGGGTTGAGCAAAAAAAGGGGCGTAGCCTCCGCTATGGCAGGCCCTCGCAGGTGGTTGTTGTCAGTCCCTGGCAGCGGGTTATGGCTACGGTGGTGATGAATGAATTCTCCAGGAGGGAGAGGGAAGAAAAAGGGCTTAAGCGCCTCCAGCTCCCCGACTCGGGCCGCCGGAGCCTCCCCTGCATCCGCGGCCGGTCCGGCTTCCGCCCCA